GAAGACCTATGCTACAAATCTCTTATTTCCATTATAATTCCTAGTAATGAAAACAGGAAAAGGAATTAATTACACAAAGTGTAAGCAAGGAGAAAGGTCTCTCAGTGCTGTGTATTTTTAAAGAACAGTAGCTATTTAATACTCCAAAGGGTCTGGGATTTTTTTTTGACATTTCATTGCAGTTCTGAGCTTTTCCACCCTAAATAAACAGCCAAAATGCTTTCTAGTTTCTCTCTCTCCCAAAAGGGAGAGGTTCAAACTTTCACAAAACTTTCTTTGAGAACAAAGTTTTCTTTAACTGAAAATTTTTATACTGTACTCTTGGTGGATGGTGGCATGTCTCTCCAATTTCTCAGGGAGTTTCTTCTTTTAGAACAGTTACTTCTTTGCAAAATCCAAACCACTGCTTATTGACTTGTTTGATCTAAAAAATGTCAAAACCAATGGACACAACTCCCGAACTACAATAGGTTATAGATGTAGCCCTATGAAATTTTAAAAAGGATTTTCTAAGGCAGAAGTGCAAGACTAGATTTTCAGAGATTTGTCCGAAAGTCATTTATTTTTTTTCTGGCACCTTCTATGACGCAGAAGACACCTGACACAGCATTAGCACTTGAAGAAAAGTCAGTTGTTACTCTGACACTTAGTAGCCTGTGTTAGAATGCATTCAAATAAAATATTTGGACCAAATCAGTAGTGATTCCTTTAAACATCCTGTTTATTCTGGATCATTCTAGATAAACCGAGTTTGAGATACCAGATGCTTGAGAAGTCTGAAAGCAGGCGTGGCAAAGCCTTGGGTCTGGCTGTCATGCTAGAGGTGGGTGGGTAGAGCCTCTCATCCTTTGGGCTTGAAACAAGCACTTAATCCAGGCCCTGACCCCATAGCATTAGGGAAATCCAGGCAAGTATTGTCTTAAACCTTGTCAGCGGGGTGAACAACATGCTTGCTCGAAAGAATTACTGTGGAGCTGCAGAACTACTGTGTGTGCCTGAATACATCTGCCTAAGGAACCTACTCTACATCTGAGAAGTTTAAGGAGTAACAAATAAAACATGCAATTTCTTTACACTGACTATACACATGCACCTCAGCACAAAGATCGTAGTAATTATAATTCTCCTATCTCATTCTCTCCAACATATTTTTATGCACAACTGCTTGCTTTTTATTTCTGGAGGGTGACCTTAATTTACAAAACTTTCATGTAAGATAAGGAGCAATGACAAGAAGTCAATAGATTATTAAACCCTTTTTCATACAAATCCTCAGTTCATTAAAAGCTCCACTACTTTCCCCTCATTCTAAGGCTTCACATTCTAACAGTTATACTTCATGAGTGTACTGTTCCTTTAAAAAAAACCCAGAACTGAGTAACAGGGAGAGAATTAAATATTCAATGACTTGAAATTAATTTGATTTCTTTTGGACTCAAAGTTTTATCTCACAGTAGTAAGACTGATTAATTTTTTTTTCTTTCCATAAATCTCCTTTTTGTAAGTGATGGAGAAACATACCTCCTGGATTCTAAAATTGTCAAAACTTGTTTTGGTAAGGCCACTGTGATCTTATTCTGTAAATAGTAAATATAACACAGAATTTAAAACTTGTGCAGGAGGTTTCCATATATCTAGATATCTTTCTACCTTTATGCACACAAGCACATATATTACACAGATATGCTGATGATCTCGCAAAAGGTGCAATTGGTGGAAATGATCTTATTCCGCACCATATTGTCACTTTACTGAGCATGGGTCGTATCTGGCTAAATATGGGCATCTAGAGCTGACCAACTCCTTTGCAATCAATGAAAAGTTGGACAATGGAGTTAACAGTGTAGATCACTTCATCTGAAGCAGATGCTTGCATCTGATCACACAAAGGGGTCCGATCTCCTCATACCAGATTTCCAGTGACTATAGCTGGAACACAGATGGCAAGCTAAGATCATAGAATCATAGAATGTTAGCGGTTGGAAGGGACCTCTGGAGATCATCTAGTCCAACCCCCCTGCCAGAGCAGGATCCCCTAGGGCAGCCACACAGGAACGCGTCCAGGAGGGTTTTGAAAGTCTCCAGAGAAGGAGACTCCACAACCTCTCTGGGCAGCCTGTGCCAGTGCTCTGTCACCCTCACAGTAAAGAAGTTTCTCCTCATGTTGAGGTGCAACTTCCTGTGTTCTAACTTAAACCCATTATTTCTTGTTCTATTGCTGGGCACCACTGAGAAGAGACTGTCCCTTTCCTCTTGGCACCCACCTCTCAGATATTTATAAACATTAGTAAGATCCCCTCTCAGCTGTCTCCTTTCAAGACTAACCAGCCCCAGTTCTCTCAGTCTTTCTTCATAGGAGAGATGTTCAAGTCCCTTGATCATCCTCGTAGCTCTTCATTGGACTCTCTCCAGTAGGTCCCTGTCTCTCTTGAATTGGGGAGCCCAAAACTGGACACAGTATTCCAGGTGTGGTCTCACCAGGGCAGAGAAGAGGAGAAGGAGAACTTCCCCAGACTTGCTGGACACACTTTTCCTAATGCACCCCAAGATCCCATTGGCCCTCTTGGCCGAATAGGCACATTGCTGTCCCATGGACAACTCACTGTCCACTAGGACTCCAAGGTCTTTCTCCACGGGGCTGCTTTCCAGCAGTTCGTTCCCTAATCTGACCTGGTGCCTGGTGTTATTCCTCCCCAGATGCAGGACTCTACACTTGTCTTTACTGAACTTCATGAGGTTCCCCTTTGCCCAGCTCTCCAGCCTGTCCAGATCTCGCTGGATGGCAGCACAGCCTGCCTGTGTGTTAGCCACCCCTCCCAGTTTTGTATCATCAGCGAACTTGCTGAGGGTGCACTCTATCCCCTCATCCAGGCTGTTGACGAAGATATCGAACAAAACTGGACCCAGCACTGATCCCTGGGGAACACCACTGGCCACAGGCCTCCAGGTTGACTCTGTGCCGCTGATATTCATACCTACACTGCAGATGCCTGAAAACTAGGTGAAGTAAATTCTGCCCCAAGAAATCTTCCTGTAACAGTAATCTAATTTGAATTGGGCATATAGTCCATATTCTACTGATTTCAATTTTACAGATACCTTAAATTCTGAGACAGGAATTAATATTCACTGGAAGACATATCATAGTAGTTAATATCTGAATAAATCTGTAGCCATCAGTGGGGCGATACAGCACTGGTGTGAAGAAAAAGAGTCAAAATACCAAAATCTAGTCCTACAGATTTTCACTTGTGATTCAGGGAAGTATTTCAGCACATGCCCCACTGTTTTCCTACTCTGGGAGCACAGCCACTAATCCTGTGCCTCACCAGGCACTGGAGTTATGTAACCATTTAATTGAAATGAGGCCATATCTTCGGGGCTTACTCACCACTGCAGCCCCGCTTGTGCAATGGCTCCTACAGCTGCCAATCCACACAGCTGTGTGAATTTTCTGCTGCTATCACTTCTTTGCACAAACTGATCCCAGAGCAATTCACCGACTACAGGCCTGAGCCAACAAAGTTTTGTGGTATCAGACCTTACAAAATCGGTGGTGATTTCAGGAAAAAAAAAAGTCCTGAAGAAAAGCCCTCAAAGAAAAAAAGAAAAAGAAAAAAGAGAGAGAGAGAGAGAGAAGAGAAAGAGAAAAGGAAAGGGAAAGGAAATGAAAAAGAAAAAGAAAAAGAAAAAGAAAAAGAAAAAGAAAAAGAAAAAGAAAAAGAAAAAGAAAAAGAAAAAGAAAAAGAAAAAGAAAAAGAAAAAGAAAAAGAAAAAGAAAAAGAAAAAGAAAAAGAAAAAGAAAAAGAAAAAGAGAAAAAGGCTTAGGTAGGTTTTTAGGAATCTGTATCCACGACTACAATCCAAAAGAATCTGAAAGTGTGGGATAGGTCCAGATTTCTCTGTATCTTCTTTTTGCCACCTAAGTTGCTCCTGAGTTCAAATGTTCTCAAGTTTAAATGTTCTTCAACTCATCCACTGATGGGTGCACAACTTTATACAAAAGAAAAACATAAAAGATGCACAAAAGTAATGTTTGGCTTATCTCTCCCTGAGGAGAACTGGTCTGATATCTTTCTAAACTTCCTTAAAATAACAAATTGTTTCTTGATACAGATATTGTGCGTTTTTTTTTCCTGGTGCCCCAAATCTTGAGGATAAGGAAGAGAGCAGCCCAGAGACTGTTAGGCTGGGTACTGGAGCATAATTGTTTCAGTTCTTCCAGACAGAAGGGAGAATTTATAAGTACAACTTCCTCAACTATCAACAGACTTTTGTAAGAGGTGGATGTTACCAGTTCTTCATTTTACAGCTCTGTTTTAAACAGTCATTCTTGTTTTGTTCTTTCTTGGAACATATGCCCTCGAAATTATCTTGGGAAATGTTTTTTAGGTAGACAAGAGCTCATCCTCTAGTAACAAGTTGTGTAGGTGAGGTTCAAAAAGGAAAAGAAGTTCCTACCTTCTCTCAGATTTTGTAATGGGTTAGCAGCAGCTTGTCAGAATGCTCAGAGGTTGTTTTTTTCTTGATCTCTCTGAAAGGTATAGAAACCCTACTTTTCTTTTCATTATTCACTTACCCCAGCCAGCGATAGTGGAGGGCTCATAAGTAACATTTACTAATTTTTACTGAGTGTAGTCCATGAATGAAACCAAGCAGAGAGCAGCATGGACAAAAACAAGGCAAAGAAGGAAGAAGCTTTGCTCTGGTAAGTTGTGAGTAAAAATGCCTCATTAATAATCAACAAAACTATTAATAAACTGGCTTAGCATAGTCTGGGGGGAAAAAGGGTTGAAAGTAAAGAGTAATCTTGAAAGCATTAGCATACGTATTGTAAACAAGTGAGTGGTCTTTCCAAAAGAGATAGTTTAGACTTACGTAAAAAGACAAAAATAAGCATCTCCATTGGGAGGTAACTTGTTAGATAAAAGAACACTTAAAGCTTACAGAAGAAGTCTTGTATGGAATTTGTATATGATAAGCTAAGTAACTGTACTTACTGTGTAAAGCTCATTAAGAACTTTCATTAAGTCTTCATGTAGCTGAAATGCAATCTCTTTGCTCTGTAATTAAAAAGAAATCATTAGAAAAAGGTATGCAAAAACTGCAACATATGTACTCATTGTTCATCCTAGATAGTGAACGCCACATTGCTCATAAAGACACCATTCTGACAGAATTACAGTGCACTGAGAAGGATGATTCAGGGATGCAGAGGTAGACAGACAACATCTGGACATGAGACTTCTAAAATGAAACGCAAAAGTAATTTGAGAGATTTTCCCCATGAAGCATCAGTAAATTAGGCACCAACAGAAAGGGTGAAGTTCAGGATTAATGTTATAAGCCTTTTTAATTGAACAAACTGTGTAGTGTTTTATAACTGAATCATGTGGAATGTGATATTCTAGAGAGACATCCCACCCAATTTTACATCTAAAATAGGCTCTATTTTTCAGCACATGTAGCTATCTAAATATTTATGCAAGAAATAATTGTGGCTCCTCTTTGAAACAGATACCCAACTGCATAATATTCCACAGAGTGGGCTGCTGAAACAGCTTTGTTTAGATTTTCTGGACTGTGTCTTTACTTTCATTCTGACCCAGAAAAAAAAGAAATGCTTAGCAGTAGTTATTATCGAAAACAAGTATGTCAAAATAAGAGTATTTAATTGGAGTCTTGTTCAAATGTATTTCTTTGTTAGCTGTCAATAGCAATTCAACGAGACGAAAGTTGTGGCAACTGTGCAGGAGTTGAAGGCATTTGTGCCGTAGCCTTTGGAAAATAGCGGCCCAGTAGAGCTACGGGACTTGGCACACAGCCTGGCTACATTTCTTCTGTGATGCTCAGCATTGTAACATCCATGCTGGAAATGTCACTTTTTTTTTTTTCCATTTTTTTTTTTCTGTGAATAAATTGATAATTAGCCCAGCTTCTAAAAACTCCAACTTTGTGGTAGATAAATGGCCTTAGTTATGAGAAGTACTTTGTATTTGTATAGAAGCCAAAGGAAAATCCGCAGGGATAGATCATCTCCAAAGCTGCTAACACATATTTGGCCATCACTAAAACACCTGCAGGAATAATGGTTTCTGAATGAGAATTTCCAGTGCAACGCCCACATATGAGAAGGAACCACAACACACATCCCACCCACCACGTCTTCCAGGAGGATGGAACAGACACATACAGTAGCTGCAACAGAAAACTTTGATTTTTTTTCTCCTACTCCCACTATCACACTCTGGGAAGTATTTTAAGGAACCTGTCATATCACTTATCAGTATTCACTCCAATTCTTATATGCGAGATGATTTTTAATTGACAAGAAGCTAAAATATAAACTAAAAAAAACACTTCAGTGAAATTCTTGTACTCTCAAGGGCATTAGCTGTAGTAGCTAAGAGACAGTGAGACAGATGCTCTGAAGCCAAGTTACACGGAACTACTATGAAACTTTCTTTATTGCTTTATTGCTTTATTGCTGTTTTTCATGAGGTATGCTCTACTACTGAGGTATCCAGAACATAAGGTTACTACTTACATATCTTTGCAACTATCAGATCATTTTCATCTAATATTAAGGACAAAAATTCATATGTATGACAGTGCATGGAGTGCTTTGTAAAGAATTGGAAAAGGATTGCAGATTTGCAAGCTGCTGTAGGGAAAGGTTTAGCAAAAATTCTGAATTGCTTTTCACTGCTTTACATTGGCACCATGCCTTTAAAAGTCAGCAGCACAGCTCTCACAGAGATTACACATCTCAAAGCTCCAAGAAGTGGAGGCCACCTGTTTTCTCTTGGATCTTTCCTTCTACAGCTCAAAATCTGAACGGTATGGTTTTTAGACTACTTCAGCAGAAAGAAGAAGAAACATACAAATAAGATGGTTGACATTAAGACTGAACGATAAAAGCATACACGTGTGGGGAAAAAAAAATTATATATGAACTCCATCTTCAAGCAACTTATCCCTCTCAGCTGTTGGTCACAACCATGTCAAAGCTGATAACAACTCAAGCCCTAAATACAGCAACGCTGTTAAGGCAGTCATGTCTTAACCTGGTAGTGCAAAAGTTTTTTTGATAAGTTGAGATAGAAAACCCAAACCAATTTTCTCTTTACCCTTTGCAGCTTTTCTTGAAAGCAAAGCACACAGCATGCAAGTTCATGGAAGGACACACTCTCTTTTTCTGCTCTTCAGTTACACCTTGGAGCAGACACCAGATGAATTGAGGACTCAGGGAATGATCACCATTTACTAGGATCCATTTCTTCTCTTTGCTCCTGTAGAGCATTGTCCAGAACTGAAGCAGAACAGAACTGAAGCCCCTCAGGATTTACTGGCCACCATGCATACATCATCTTTTCCAGGCAAAACATTGATCAGTGGTAAATTTGAAAGTGAATGGAAGAAATCACAGCAGAGGAAAGAGGGAGATGTTTTTAGGCCAGGACAGAAGGCTTTAAAATGAGAAGCAAAAACAGAGAGAGGGAGGTGATGAGCAGAAGAAGTAAAAATTAGGAAGAGGACAGCCTAGCAATGCCACATAACTGCAGAGGAGTAATCCTTCCACCAGTTCATCTCAGAACTCCAATCTGTAGAGGGTGCCTGTAGTGATGGCTAACATGTCTCTTTCTGATGGAACGTTTTGTAGGAATTGTCCAATAAAAATCAGGAAATTTGGTTAGTCTTAGAAGTACAAAAAGGATTTATTTTCAAGAACCAACACATTTCACATTAGCATTTAAGACCAAGAAATACTGGCTCAAGTGGCAAAGCAGCGCGGCTTTTAGTGTGTAATAGATAGCGCATTAGAGCACCAGATAAGAAGTGCATTTATTTTCAGTGCTTAATGGCTCTCCTATTTCTCTTTTAGGCTACCTATTCCCTGCAGCAGTTCAGCATTTTTGAATGGTGTGCTCCTCTAGGAGCCTGTCCTCAGGGTAGCCACACAACAGAATGTAAGATGCAGCACACATTTTCCTGGAGCCGAGTCGATGGCTCTCATCAGGCCATTAAAACCCGACAAACAGAAGTGCTCCTTTATTCACTGTGTCCTAGAGAAATGTATTAGCATCTGTTTACCAAAAGAACAAAGACCATAATAAAAATGATAAAGCACATGCAAACTCTTACTAAAAATATGATATATGCTACTAATCTAGTTCAAAGCATTAAGAGAGGGTATTTTCTTCACCTGATACTAGGACGGATCACTCCCAGACAATCGCCAATAAATGTACCTCTTTCAGTATGTGCTCAATTTTCAATATCAGTGGTTCTTCTGCTGTTATTAAGATTTATATTTATGAATTAATGTCTGAGAAATTCAAAATTTTATTCCACACAAAATACCTCTTCATTGAAGCCTGTAAGAATTTTCCCATCCATTTCAGTTATAGCATAATTGGGTATGCAAAACTTATTCTTAGGGGTTTTTTTTACTGAAATTTAAGTCAGTTCAGTTCTTCCTGGAATTCTTTTGTGTCTGTATGTAGCACACACAATGCTACTCTCAGTTACATCATTTAGGGAAAATATTCTGTGACTATTGCTTTTAAATGAGTCTGCTGCTGGTCCCCAGGGGAAGTGTTGTGCAAACCCTTCTCTTAAGGAGCTTTCATGAGCTGCAGTCACACTGACATAACCAACTCATAGTAAAATTTTGTCCCAGATTTGCCAATCTCTAACAACAAATAGCTTTGCTATCCTTTTAAAGCTTTAAATGTTTAAGAAAATGATGCAAAAAAATCTCTCGTTATGCCACAATCTTTATAACATCTAATAGATTTGGCAGGTAGTCACATTCCTTGTTAATAGCCAGATTATGGAACTAAAATATTTATTGTGCTTGGCTTCTCCATCATCTTTTACTGTAAACATTGGAAGATATGTTCATCTTGGCTCGTTATGGTTTCAGTCCAAAGAAAATATATGTTTATAAATTATAAACATACAAATCTGCTTAAGGATTTTGTGGGTATGTGTTTATACAGTTGATTATTAATGCTGGGGTAACCAGAATCACTGCATGAAATGTTCTGCATAATACTTTTCCCTTCTGCTTGACATTTTCTTTATTACTTTACTCTTTAATTGTCCCCATGAGGCCATCTACCCCATCTGCCTGAAGAAACACACAAGCATGCAAGGTTTGAACTCTGCTACTTTATGTTTGTAATTTTATGTGCAGCATGAAGGCCAGGCATGAACAGCAATCTGTACTGCTTTTATATGCCAGCAACTAAAAAGAAGAAGAGCTTAAGTGCCTATCTGGAAGTATGAGGCATGACATAATATCATCAGATAAATGTCACAAAATCTATGAACTAGATCTTATCTTTGTGCTGCATTTAGTACATTTAAACAGATGCTGGTTTCTGATCTCTGGAAAAGGAGAACGACAAAGAGTTCCCGCGAGAACAAAAATAATGAATATCTACATATTAAGTGCCTAGAGAGGAAATACATGTACAATCAGGTACCCAAGTACAATGTATCCTGGCCTATCAGAACATGCAAGGCAGAATCAATAAGGATCATTTCACCAAAGCAATGCGAAAGTTGAGAGAGATGTATAGATGCACCCAAAAGGAAGAACCAGAATGAAGAAGAACAGCCAGTGAGACACGTGCAAGGTACACAGACCAGGAGGTGCAGGCATCCCTCACCACTGCACTTCATGTAGAACAACGCTGGGTACTGCACATGCCTTTTACAGAAGGGCTAGAGAAAGGGGTTGCTACAGCTTCACGACTTCGTGCTGTCCCACACAGGAGACATCAGCAGGAGAGGGAGAAAAACGATACTCTGCTGGCAAGCATGGTCAGGAAACAAGGAAGTCGTTTGATCTTCTAATTACTGCAGTTCAAGCTGGAGCCAATCTTAAGACAGCATACAAACGGAATCCCTCTAGAATAATGTTGAGCTTGGTTCATGGGAAAGTTTGATTTGAGGACCCACGCGCCCACCAGCAAGGTGGAAAAAGCCAGTAAGGGTAGCACTGGGAAGCAGAATGGGCAACCTCCTCCTCCTGGGAGAAGGGGAGAAAAAAGAGGGAGCAGTAGGAGCCAACAAGCTCAACTTCGCTGTTGTCTCCCCATATCTGACTTGTGAGGGATGGGGCAATCCACTTTGAAACAATTTCCCTTTCTGCAACAGGCAGATCGGGGGTTCGGAGCAGATTTGGAAGTGGAGCTAAAGCATCTCCAAAGATGCAGAAGCTGCTGCTGCAAGACCGAGGGAGAAGTAAACCAAGATAATAATAGTGATGCATAACACTGTTAGGTTAATAAACTGGAAGATATATAATTAAACGATCTAATTTTGAATATAGAGAAGCTTGATTAGCTGGTATTTGGAGATTACTTAGACACTAAGTGCTCCTGTGTGTAATGCTGTGAGAGCCAATGGGGTACAGATACGTTAGATGGGTGTATTGCTGCTCTTGACAATGGACTGTGGTAAGCTACTAAGCATGTACGTTTAGTCTTTATTTTTGAAATCTTCACATTACTGCTGTTCTTACTATTTACATTTATTACTTATAACAGAGTACCTATTTCACTGAACGGTATGATCAGATTTCAGTGTAGAAGTGTCTGCGGGATATGGTTTGTCTGTAATCTGAAATCTGCGAGCAGTGAACAAACGTCATATACTTTCACAGGGATGACATCCATTGAAACTGGTTATACTTTTCTCTGACATAATTTTATTCCAAATCCATTTTTTTTCAAAGGTAACCTACAAAAAGTGACAGAAATTGGTTAAATATTCTATTTGATGTTTACAGGACTCCAACAAATTCCACACCATTTTGTTTAGGAAGAATATAATTTTGAGGGAAGAGAGTGGTGGATGTCACCTTTCTCATTCAAAGTGCACCTTCTCTTTGCTCTTGTGACCTCTTGCCTGCAAGGGGACATGTAGTACAGGACACGTGGCTTTTGCACCTTATCTCTTTCTGTTGCCTGGTGGTCACCCATTAAGCAACTCTGAGACAGTCGGTGACGTACCTTAAGTTAGACTGCTCGTTAACATCTGACACAAGTTATCACAGAATCATAGAATGGTTTAGGTTGGAAGAGACCTTTAAAGACCATTACTGTTGAAGCTACCCATTTGGACTAAATATAGATGTAGGCAGCTCATGTTCTTCATCAATAAAGCAAGACAATTTGCTAACATTTTCACCTCCTGCACAGGTCTTGGTTTTCTCTCTATCCAATATTGTTCACCTCATTTTATAAATCCCCTTTTCACAGAAAAGAAACTGGAGCTTCATCATCATTCAAGGTATAATCAGTTGTGCAGCAGGGAACTAGCAGCAAATAAATCACCAGTACTTTGCGGCAAGTGCCACAGCAAGAACTGTGCACACTGGAGCTCAGTGGAAACACCAACTTTATCTGACAAGTATTGATTCCAGGCAGACTGCCCTAAAAGTGCATACTCAGAATTGATATTGGTGAGCAACCACTGCCTTTCTCAAGTCACAGGCCCATGAATCTCACACCCTGCCGAGGTGCTGTGGACACCTTTCCCCTCCCTTTACCAGCCTGGCTCAGGTCCCTTCACACAGCCCCTGGTGAGCTCACTCTGCCCAAGCTCCACCTCAGCTATCAGCTCTTCAATGTGACGCTACGACGCTGAGTGTCAGCCAGCAAACCCTGCAGAAAGGCAGGACGGGGCTGTTGAATATCTGGTCTCCACTAACCCTGGCTCCAGGTTACGTGCAGCAGGACTGCCTCAATTTCCTTTCTCTTCTTTCTCCTGTAGAAGATCCAAGTTAGGAATAAACAAGCAGGAGCAGCTGCTTGCTCTGCTTCAAGAAGCTACGCTGGAAAACTTGAAATGTTATGTGTTTCTGGGCATAACATGGAGGAGAGAGATGAGTCTGTCAGGAAGATGGGACTATGTGCCCCCTCTTGATGCTCTAAAAATGTCCACATACTTTCCTGCTTTTGAGGGATAAGCTGCAGCAATCTCTATTAATAAGTTATGAGTGAATAAAGGACACACGCTTCCCTACGGAAAACTTTATCTAGATATTTTCGTACAGCCCATCTGGAGAGAAGGGAAGGAAAGGCAAGATTTCCAGTGCTAAAAAACCTGAACTATGCTGAAAGAAACAGGTTAATCTAATAATACACACCTAGTGAAGCAGAGATTTCTAAGATATGACATAAACAACTGAAAAACTATTCTAAATTCAACGCCAAATTTCTCCTGGTCCAAGGGAGTCTGAGACATCTCCGCATAGACAGTACTGCAGCATGCTTAAACTGCTTTTTCAATTATCTTTTCAAATTCTGTAATAATCTTCCATAATATTTAGTGGTTTGTCAACTACAGTTCTATGCATCAGACATACCATATGAATCGACCATCACTGATTAAGAAACTGTAAATTTCAGCTCTATTATTGTTACAAGTTTTAATGGACACCAATAAATCTGATTCGCATTTTTACCTTTTGTCCTCCAAGTACAACTTATGTGCTCACTAAATGATTCTTCTTCCCCCTTCATTGCTACTATCTACCTAGAATTGTGGCCAGGTATACGTGAAATTAGTTCCCTATTTTGAAAACATTAATCTGGTACTCTTCATTTCGTCACACACTTTATATTCTTTAACCTTTAGTCTTTTTGAACTTGTTTTTATATGACGCTTTCTTCCAGCATCCTGCTGTGACTAATGGATGTGCATTTATAATCTATTTTTATTTCGGAATATTAGAACGACGACGACTCAGACACATTACGTAGATCTCAAAATAAGGCTGCCTAGGGTGTTTGCTGAGCACAACAGGGATTTACATATTGCGTATGTTATGAAAACACATAATGGGCACGTACAAGGACAAACACATACAGAGACACTGCTTAAATGATCGAATGGAAGTAGTTATGTCATCAAGAGTGTATGTTCATACTTATTATTGGGAAGGCAAGGAAGCACTTTTAGGAGAATCTCAGCATACGCTACCATCTTTATGCCAGGGCACTACAAGGCACATCCTTACTTTGGCTTGAATCCTTTTCTCTCATGACAGTTACAATGAACTACTGTTTTTACAAATAATTCATTAATACAGCATTACTATTTTGAGAGTCCTAAGTGAAAACTGTTTCCTTTCCGCATGGGTAGACAAGCGTGCTTTTGAGAGAAGAGGCTTTTTTCCCCTGCCTTTTGGATGTCTGCAATTCAGCTCTTAAGGTCACCAGCATATACAGCAGGTTCCCAGGCACCTCAGCACTAAGGGTTTTGCTCCGTGAGAAGAGTCATGAAGAATTTATATGTGTGCTAAAACAGATTTTATGCTACGTGTGCTGAATCTTCTCCTTAAATGCTACCTATTAGGACACTTTTGCCTTCCTCATGCATCTCAGAAGCCCATCTGGAGGTCTGCAGGAGAGCCATTACCTTCTTGAACATTCTGGTGGAGTCTTCACTTATCTGCATGAACCGCATGATCACGTTGTTCAGGTAGATATCGCTCAGCGTTGCATGGTCTTTGCTTTCTCTTCTTACTTGGTTCAGGAGTAAGTACCAGCAATTCACTGGTGACAAGAGGTTCTGGTCTTTCCTAAGGAGGAGACACACATATGCAATATCTATGAAAATGAAAAAGGCTACATTATTTACACAAATGTTTCCCTGACATTTACAGCCATAACTTCTGTAAAAATGGTTGCTTCTGAACAGCCTGTCAATCCTTTCTTGGAATAAGTCGGGTTAGGCAAGCCTAAGATCACTTTTAAGACACATTATACAAATCCCATGAGTCAGGGACACAAAAATGTAGAAAAAGTGTTAAGAGTTCAGAGCACTGCAAGCCACATGGGAGTATAAAAGAAAATCTTGCCACAAAGCTTACAGATGGAATAAATGCAAATATTCAAAATCAATAAAAGTCACTGCTGAAAAGTAACAATAATTAATTTTTGACACCAGAAGTAAATAAGCACTGCAAATGCATTCCAAATACTTCATGAGCAAAATTTTAGATCTTAACTGTTTCACTGCAATGGATTTGTATCACTGCTACAAAGGCAGAAGGAAATGTCCCAAGCATACATATTCTGTGATGAGCATTCAGCAATTCACAGCACTCCTAAATACAGAAGTGCCAGTCCCAGATGGTTCAATTACAAGACAACAGCAGAGCTGGATTTTTTCCACAGTGGTCCAGTTCTGAATTTCCTTGACAGACTTTTTGTATTGCTGGCCCGCTCCAACCTTTTAATGTTGTAAAAAGTGAAATTGCAGATGATTTCTTTCTTTTACACAAAGCAAAATAAAAATACATGTAGTTCAACAACCGTTTCACAGACAACAAAAAGCTATTTATAAAATTTGCCTTATGATTTTATTGAAATTTGAATTTCAAATTTGCCTTGCAACCAAGTGCTCTAGAAACTTACTGCTTTTTTTGTTTTGTTTTGTTCCTCTTGTGCGGGGATTCTCCTGTCATCAAAAGGATCAAGCACGTGAAGATAAAATAGCCAGAGGTAGTGATGAACTGATGGAGAAGCCCCTTCAACTCTTGGCAAATTAGCCCAATAATTAACTATTCTCGCTGTTATAAATACGTCCTTTAAATCCTTATCTAATGGTCTGCTTCTAGCTTTCACCCTCAGAATCAAAGCAACAACAAATGATTAACAGACAAAAGCCTTTTCTTAATCATCAGCGCTCTGCTATGAATCAGAAGCGAGTGAAGGAAACTTCCCCATTTTGCTGGGGATGGACATTTTTGCAGCGTTACTCACAGCGAGGAGCTTCAGGGTTTTATCAGCCAGGTCAGCCAACAAGAGCAGCCCCGAAGGGCCGCGCTGATATTACTTCATCCTCACTGCTTCTGCATTTCCCAGAGCCAACCCTTCAGACCTTCCTGCCCACTCTGGGTGGATGGTGGGAGCAGCGCAGGGAGCACCAGTTAAAGTGACTTTTGATGCAACCTCTTCTCAAAGCTGAAAACTGCAGAACAAAGCCAAGGGCAGGACTTTAAGTGGTAACCCCCCTGCACATCTGCCAGTCTGGATTTAACATGTTTAAGAACGAGGAAAGAAGTTTGGTGTACATAGCCAAAAGACTTTGCTGCAAGCTGAATAAAAGCCAGGGCTCCCTCTGAAGTGGTGACATATGCGCACGTTGGCTATTTCAGAGCATCTCTGAGTCACTTCACTAAATTCTAGGAAATATATGTTATTGTACTGTGCAAGCTGTATTTGGATTAACCTTTCCTTTGCCAGATGTGTTTGGAAAAGACTTTTGTCCTGAAAAAAAAGCTCTGTCTGTGTATCTCTAGCACATCACTGACTAGTCATTAGAAAAAGGTACTTAATTTTTCGTTTTACAAACACAAAATATTGTTTTATACCTCTAAGCATAACAGGGCAAGGCAAACGCATTCATTAGTCAGCTCAAGTCAAGAAAACAATCAGATGAGACCACGTCAGTGAGTACTGCATTTAAAAGACTTTAGAAAATGTGCTGTATACACGTTTTGCCAGATACTACCTGACCACTTGTGTTTTGCACACAAGTTACTATGCCATGAAAGGGATACAAGGAGTATAAGGTGAGGCATAAGGTTCACACCATCTTCATTTCCAGGAATAAGAAGGGTCAAGGTTCACATGCAACAACAAATCAGTTCTTGACACCTTTTTTTGGCAAAGTTATTGTCCTTTTTTTTTTTCCTTTTAATGGTAATTGACTTTTATTTAACATATTTTCAGACTTCACTGCAACAGATCAGCATACACCTTTCAAGTCCTTTTGGAGTTCTGCATCTCTCCTGGATAATGGCTGTATTTTGGGTGGTTTCAATTCTCTGTGGTAGGTTAGGGATAATATTGGTGCAGCTTACCTTTCAAGAAATGGAAACCACCTGTCAAAAGGTTACATGAATAATCACAGAGGGCCAAACCAACCAAATCGAATTTAGGCACCCATCTACTTTCAACTGATGTGGAAATTGCTACGCTGCTAAATAGGGGTGGGAATTTTAAATGTGCCTTTGAACCTGGGCTCTACCTAGCAGTACTCAAAGCCAGCAGAAGCAAGGAGCAGAGTGATGTGAGGCCGAGGGGGAGGGAAATCTTTCTTACTTGTACTGCTGATGATCCTTTGTACTTCTTGTTTTTGCCATGAACCTCTCTGCCAATTTTTCCAGGTTTCGGGAATACTCCATCTCTATTTCCGACTTCTTGCGGAAGAAATCCTGCAGATCCTGAAGAAGCTGCACTCTCATTTCAGTCTGCTGCTCCAGGCATTTCTGCTGCTCGATGAGTTGAGCTCGGATCTCTAATGAAAGAAGCACAAACCCACTCAGGTCAGCGAGCGCAAATGAGAATTGAGTGCTACCAACCAAAATTACAAACACTCCAGTGTGCTTCAGCCTCACAGCTACACCAGCTGGCTCTGGATTTTGAGTCCCGTGGTGGGAGGCAGCAGCGGCAGCTCTTCCTTCTGCCACCACACGCTTCTGCCCCAACACCCTCCCACCCGCTGTCTGTCTGTCTTGCAAACGGCCACAGTAAGGGCTCAGGACTCTGCTGGGCTCACGTGAGCAGAAAAGCTGCCTTGTCCTTCCTCTCCCATCCTTCCTGGCCTCTGGCAGTAGCACAACATCTGCCTCCGAGTGATTTCCTTGCAGGAGGTGGTGTGCAACCGTTCGAGCGGCAGCTCCTGCTGCTGCCCCAAAAATGGCAGGATAAACAAAGCACCCTCCGGGCCAGGATCTGCCTGCTGACTGCCAGAGGGGCCATGCTGGTTGGTATCATCATGCACACCATGGAAACAACCTTGTGATAAGCTCTGGAGGTACTACGCACCATAACTGTGCACGCTTTCTATCCCTGCCCCATCTCTGCCCAGGGGGGAACTGGCCTGCTACACACGCATTTACCAATATTTTACAGTGAATATAAAGGAAAAAGATACAGCTATTTGGTAATTTGCACGATGTTCCAGAGACTGTGGTATATTTATTAACAAAACAAAACCAGTCAGTTTGGAAGAGAATATATGCTCACAGTTATCATCTAAGGTAAAAGGGAGAAGCTTCCAGGTTGCTTACCACTGTTTGCCATATACACAACTGCTATGTGGTAAGGTTTTTCTTTTCTTTTGTTTTGGGTGGTGTTTTTTGTGATTTTTCTTTTAGCACATTCATTTCTGGAGTGCTAAGCAGTTCATCACGTTCAGGGAACACTTAGTCTAGAAACATCCCTCTGGTTCCTTTGAGAGACTGGTTCATTAGGATTTTGTCAGCTGCCCAGGCACAGTGTAATCCAACATTGTGAAGTAAACACAGGAGCAAACATTTTGTGACCATAATATACATTTTTTAAACGTTTAATACCATTAAGGACCTTCTGATAGCAAACCAACATGCCAGAAGTGATGTCCATGTAAACGCAAAATTGTTGTGACCTTTTACTTGATTCCTAATGATGTAACCATGCTGTGGGCAAGATGCTGAATGTCTCAGATGCCTCACTGGTTTGAAATAGAAAAGCTTTCTAAAATCCACTGCTAACACCACAGGGAACTGCAAAACAGTAACTACTAACAACACTGAAAAAAATTATCTGATGCAACTAGGAGCTAATGCATCCTTACTGATGTTAAAGCAGGTATGAAGGCAAAGATCTACTCTGCTGGGATTCAAATATATATACACTAAAATAAGGTAGTACGAGCACAGAAAACTGTTAAGCCAATCTATTTACTGAAGGAGGGAGACACTGCAGTATTTCCTTCCAGATCTGCTTTGAGCTACCAGCTGCTGTGTTAATCATTAATGAAACCATCCATTTTTACAGTCTGGGAGGTGAACCAAAAAATTCAGTTTGGTTTTCATTTCATTTCAAATCAGTTTGTTGGAAAAGGACCATGCCTCCAGCAAGGATAAGCCACTGTAATACAACACTGTATCAATGACATTCATGTACATAGAGGAGAAAATCACAGTGGAGCTGGAAGGTTATTAATAGAAACAAAAACCCAAGACTGCTCTTTTGGGTGTCCACTAGTTTTAACATTGCAATTATGGAAAAATTCCTGCATATAGGAAACCAATTGTATAGATTCAATGACCAGAAGCAGCAATTTTGCCTATAAGCTAGAGTTTTGAATAAATCCAAATCCATGACCATGGTCCCTATACTTTGGCCATCTCCCTTTCCCACTCCAGATTTTCTCCCAGTTATTTTAAAAGCAGAGCTCTACACAGAGTAACTATGTTCTGATTATTTTGTAGGTCAGTGGATCTTGCTGCTATGAAATTCTTCCTTTTTAGGCAGGTTTTACCATAGCAACAGGGAAGAGAAAGATTTTAGAAAGAGGAATCGCAAGCTAGTTAATGAACAACAAGGAACAGTTAAGGAACAAGAAACAATGAACAAGAGACGACAGATATTATCTGGGAAATTGCCTTAGATTTCTGATGCTGTCTGGATTTCCAGTGGACAGTAGTGGCTTCCTTCAACCTTGTATATTAAAAAGTGAAATTGGAGTATGAGTTCTGAAAGCTGATGGTGGCTACAAATGTCCAAGCTCTGAATAAGGTGCTCAGTTATGGGTACAGGGAGACGGCAGCACTTTTTAATTCTTTTACTAATAATGTGTGCAATGCCATACTGGCAGTCTGAGGAGATGGCACTGAGTATGAAATCAGATCACCAAATGAGATTTTTGCTTTTTGATGAGAGAAAGCCATGGATTAAACAAGAAAACAACAACCTAACAAAAAAACCCCAAACAAACCAAACGTTGGCACAACAGCCAGTCAGCTGTGCATCACAAAATCACAACTGTCTGAGCACTATTAACTAACATAGACTATCCATTACCTACTGCTATGGAAAAGAATGCGTCAAGGCAATGCCATCTTCTTTAACCAAGCCACACGTGATTTCCGCACGGTTACAAAGAGGGGCATGGAAAGTTGCTGCACTGTATTCAAAGAAATAAATACCCGAATCGCCAAGAAGGTGCCAAGTTAAAAACTAGTAGAGCCCAAACTCTATAGATACAGAGACAGGTGCAGCAGGAAACAGAGGGTGCCTGTCTTTCTTTCCTCTATTTTGCTGGCACATTTAAATTCAAAGTCGAACTGATAGCAGCTGTAATGGACAATGACATTGTCCTATTCTGCTCTGCAGGGTGGCTGATGTCAAATGATTGCCAGGCTATTTTGTGCCAGGAATAGGCATGTTTAAATCCTGGACAAATTAACACCTTCTCTGTACAGCAGCTCTGAGTCATACTCACTGGTTTTCTGGCCAAGAACTGGTTCAAAAGGAATTTCACCCATTTACACTGCAGCTTGAACAGACTGAATTCACATCAAGTGGGAAACCCTCTGCACGTTTTGTACAAGATTTGCACATATGACCAAAGCAAGGAAGCAGCTAACATGACCTCAGTTAAATCAATAACCTCTGAGTTAAGTTTTATTTCTAAAGATTTTCAAGTTAAAAATTATTTCAATTATGCTCTCACTGGCACCCTTCTCTAGAATTACGACACTAAGTATAAAGTAAGTTTTGTTTGTGGCAGGCTTCAAGACATAACTCTAACTTTTCAACAAATCCTTATTTTCTTCTGATAAGAGGTTAAATCAGTGCACTATGAAAAACAAAACGAGAAAAGATTATATCTGCTTTGAGAGTTAAGTACAGGGTGGATGAAGCTGAGCTACTGACATCACCCAAATCATAATCAGAAATAAACTCGTCAAGGTTACCTCTTTGCACACAACGCAGTATTACAAATAATGACTTACACGGCACTGCAGTAATACACTGTATCACCCAGGGCAAGACATGTGTAACCAGCTATAGGCCAGTGCCCCATCCGAACGCACTCATGGCGAGGTACACCTCAATGTGACACACAACGACGGTGCTGGCCACGCACCAGCAAGGAACAAACCTCATCACCTCGACTTCCACACACGTCAAAGCACTAGGCTCCATCAAACATCCCCAAAAGCCAGGGGAAACCTCCTCCTCACCTCAGAAGCCAGACACCTCACAAATACATGGTATTAACCAAATGAACCCGCTGCCACACCAACGCTCTGCGTGCAGACTGCCGCCCCGCTGCAGCGCTCCCCACTGCAGCTCCTGCACCCCTGCGCGGCGATGCTGCGGCGCTTCTGCCGCCCCGCGCTGGGCTGTGCCTGGTCCTGTCAGCCCTTGGAGACCTTCCAGACCACCACAAACCCTCACTTCCAATTCTCAATCAAAGCAACTTCAACGAATGCTTCGTGGCGCTGCTACACGCCCACCGTGAGGCGCTTCCCGCCCCGGGAGCTGTTGCAGCCTGCCACCCTTCAGCCCCCCTGAAGTCCAATTAACTTCTGTGCAGAAGAGTAGCCCTGCTCTGGTTTTTGGTGTTTGCTGAAAGCTCTGGAAGGTGCTGCAGAGCCAGACACCTCTCCCTGGTCCCCCCCTCGGCTGAAATGCAAACCTCCCACCTGGTGCCTCGCCCAGCCCGGCAAGGAGCTATATTTAAGTCATGATTACAATACACAAACTATGCAGACACATTAATCCAGTAGTATTACTGGATAATAATACAAACAGCCTCAGGGCCCCATCCTGCGAATGATTACAAAAGCAAGTAGCGAGTCAGAACTATTTGAGAGTACTATGCCAAAGTATAGTTAGGTTTGCAGGTTTTCTCTGATCGGGTAAATTCAGACAAAGCCCAACTTTCTTCAGATACCTCCTTCACAAAAGAAAGGATTAAAAGAGAAAAGTTTTAAACCAATTAGAAATGTCTCATCAAATGATAATATATCAAAAAATAATATACGGTATCTTTGACTTTGTATTTCCAAACTATTACAACTTATTTTTTTTAACCCCAGTGAGCTATCAACATACGTATCCCTCATTCTTACGTTTACGATACCTAGATCATATTTCATAGGAAAATGTCAGACCTTAAATTCAGCCTAGATATCATCTGGTGACCAACATGCACTTGTAATTAAGCAGATATTGGAGTATTAATCATCTTGCGGTTCCTCCTTGAAGACACTTGAGTCTTATATGTCTCTCACTGTGCCTCAACTATTTAGCCTAAGAACGGCTCATGTCTGAGCCTGCTGCTTGAAGCTGAGGTGCTGCATCGGGGGACTGAACTTCCCAGTTTCACCCAAGCCTTCTGCCTTTGTAAGCACCCGCTTTTAGCTTCTCCGTCGAGATGGGCAGACTTTTGGTCCAGCTGAACACAGCTGGCCAACATCTGCAGTTTAGGTTTTGTTTCAGGAAAGTGCTTAGC